AACGAACGGCCACAGGGTGAAGGATGAGCGTGCTTAGGGAGATGTTCCGGTGTAACTCACCCGTTGCAGTGTAGCTCTGTTTTTTTTTTCATTCCTCTCGTTTGGTAGTATGTGTTTCCGGGAAAGCTCCCGAGAGACATCCGGAAAGCATGATCCAACTGACTGTGTGGTGGGGAACATCCAGAGTTGATGCGCATGCAATAACAGAATGGTTCAATCCAAAGGTGGAGTCGGTTGTTTGTGCGGACGAAGAAGAAGAAGCACAAGAAGAAAATGATGATGACGGAAAGAGCTTTGCACAGCGACAGCGAAAAGGAGGGGCTCTCGTGTGACAGCGACAGCAATGAGATTATAAACTAGAGCAAATGGAAACAAATGGGAAATTTAACTTTGTAATTTTTCAACCCTGGGATGTGTCACATGTTCCAGCTGCAACTGTTTGTTCGGTGCTCCAGCGTTTTCGGATGGTTTATTTGGGGTTGGAGTAGTGTTTTTCCCAATGGCGAATTCGGAATTGCCCACATAGGTAGGTGCAGTATCCAGGACTTTGCTAGGAAATCCTTGTTTGTGAGTTTACATATAGGAATAGATCAATGATTTTTTTTTTCGTTGGAAATTGATGCTCCTGTAAATACGGAGTCGTTATCATGGTTTGTATTTCTGTTTTGTAAACAACATGTCTTTATTGCATAAAGATGCATGTACCGATTGCATAAATATAAAACATCAATCCAATATGCAGTATTTAATGAGGTTATTATATATCTCAATTGAATGCTTTCTACTCCAAAAGCTTGATACAATTGTACCGTGCTGTGCAGAATTTGAATTGTACAACATAGTTTTACCTGGCATCGCAATTCAATTCGCAGATTGAACGTGAACCCATTAAAAATTAATGACGTCGGGCTCAGGCAGTATGGATGAGAAAGTGAAAAAAGGCGATTCTTGTAATCCTGGAAGCTGTTTGGCATTGCTGCTACTGGGGATTAATTTTATCCTCTCGTTATGCTTATTATTTATATTTTAATTTTCGTTTGTTTCGGTGATATGATGCTGGTTTTTCACTTATTGAACTTTTATACCCATTTTGGGTGGTTAAACACGGCGAAATTGATTCATAATTAAGTGGGACTTTTTTGGTGCTTTTATTCCAATTTTTTTTTTCTCTTGTAATCTGGTCATACATTGTTTGTTTTTATGCGCTTTATGTTGATAAAATAAAAAAATATGTGCCTTAAAAAACGCAGGGAAAAATCGTATTTGTTTTTGATTCGAAAGTTTTGCAGACTGAAAATGCGAAAAGCACTGCTTATGACTGAGAAGAATATGATTTTTTTTGATAAACTATAGGGCATATAAACTATAACACTGGACTTTAGATGGATATCTACACACCAAAAGTTGATCAAAGATTTCAGCAAAATGGTTTACTGAAAAGCAATCAGCAATCTACGATTTTACTGAAAATCAGCAATTTGGTTCGTTTTTACTGAAAACCAGCAACTTTACTAGATTGCTGAAAATTCAGCATATATCATCGTCTGTCACTCTGTCAAAATAAGAAAAAAATTTTTTTTTGGTTTTTTAATTATTCTGCAACAAACTAAGTGCGTCATGGATCCCGAAGTTCAGGAAGCTCTGCTGAATCTGAAAGCTGACCGTTGTGATGTGGAGGAATTGTTTGGTAAGTAAAATGGCTAAATATAATCTTGTGTTTTCTTCAGCCTCGAGAGCAATGGCAGACATTTTGAAGTGTTTCTACTGCCATCAGTTGGTTGAGGGATATACTGATGGACTTCGACGACACCTAAAAGTGCACGAGAATAAACAAGATTTTAATAAGGAGCTTGTGCACTTCACATGCACTAAAAAAGGTTGCAGGATGAGCTACCGGAAGTTCAGTAGTCTGAAGCAGCATATAATCAAAAAGCATCCGATAACGGCACCAGATTTCCACCACCAGCAGCAGCATAAGCAATACCACCAACAGTTCGATCATCACAGCCAGACAATTCCAGTTGCACTGAGGAGAACATCGCACCCATTATGGGCGCTGAAAGCGCAAACCTGGTTGATGAGGAACTAGGTGACACTTCGATCGAATCTCTTCGAAAGTTTGCATCGGTTGCTGTGTGCAAGCTTCGAGCAGATGTCTCATTCACACAGGCCAAGATTTTGAAAGCTGTGGACTTCTGCGAAAGCATTGTTGAGCAAATTAACATGCTTGTGTCGCAGCGGATAGATTCATTTATAAGATCTTTAAAAACGCAATTCCCCTCTGAGGACATCGTAAAACTCAAAAATGACGTTTCTGTTGTTAATCTTTTTGAAGAAGTTAAAAGCTGTAAGCGACGAGAGCAGTTTTTAAAGAAAGCAGTTGGCTCAATTCCAGAGCCAAGATCAATCATGTTGCGTTCTCAGGAAGCAAAACATTTCAAAAACGCACAGGAGCAGAATATCAAGGTAGACATTTTGAAATTTACGTGTATTTTGTATTAAATTATGTAAATAATGTTTTCGTCAGGTCAGTGAAACTTTCCAGTACGTGCCCATCATTGAGTCACTGAAGATGTTCTTGCAGGACGAACAAAACCGGCTTATGTTATCGTCTAATGGATGTATAGCAGAAGTGGCAGATAAATTAAATCCTAAAGTATACTATTCGTATACAAGTGGGCAGTGCTTCGAGAACAGCCTCTATTTCCAGGAGAATCCTGACGCACTGAGAATAATTTTGTACGATGACGATGCTGAACCGTGCAACACACTGAGTTCCAGAGCTGGAAACAACAAGATTGCTGCAATGTACTTTAAGATTCAGAACATACCAACCCAATTCAATTCATCGAAAAAAGCCGTGTTCCCCTTGATCTACGCGAAATCGACCGGTGCCAAGCGACATGGCTACAGTAGGATCTTGGCTCCACTCGTAGATGATCTGAAGCGATTGGAAAAAGGTGTTCCAGTGTTCTTTGGATCTGAGAAGTACATCATTAAAGCAGTTGTAATTGCATTGGCTGGGGACACACTAGCAGTCCACGATCTATTTGGGTTATTAGGACCATCTGCCAGTCTATTCTGCCGAGAATGCACGATCACTCGAAATCACTTTAAAAATAATCCGTTTGAGCACAGTTTTCCTCTCAAGGACAAACATTGGTACAATCTGAATCTGGACAAACTGAGGAAGAAGGAAATAACTGCAACGGATTGTGGATTAAAAGTAACGGGATGTATTTTAAACGAACTAACGACATTTCACGTAACGGAAAACCATGCTTTTGATGTGATGCACGACTTGGCTGAGGGGGTGATTCCAGTCACAGTTCAGCTTGTCTTGTCATGTTACTACCGCAACAAGAAACTTGGGTTCAATATCGACTACATCAATCATCGTATCAAAACATTCTGTTATGGATATCGAGATCGAAAAAATAAGCCATCTTCAAACATAACTGCACAAATACTACTTCAACCGAACACCCATAGAATGAGGCAAACGGCATCACAACATTTGTTATTGCTGAGGGTGTTTCCTTTCCTATTTGGACATAAAACGCCTGAAAACTGCCAATATATGGGTTTGATTAGCACCCTGATCAATTTTACGCGAATAGCATTTTCACCAATCATCCCGGATTTTCTGTTGGCAGAATTAGAGATGGATAAACAAGTGTTCCATAACACATTCTTTCAGTTATTCAGCCGGCGCCCAAACAAATTCCATCACCTACATCATTATCCTGAATGCATAAGAAAAATTGGACCACTCGTGCAATTCGACTGTCGAGTATTCGAAGGAAAGAACAAAAACATAAAAAGTCAAATGAATACCGCCTGCAACTTTAAAAATGTTTGCTTGAGCTTAGCTAAGCGGCAAGTGTTTGCACAAGCCGTTGATATTGCGGAATGTCCGTTCCAGAACCGTTTGGAGTATAAATCTGGAAAGATGAGTCTCATGAATGATCTCAAGTGTGCAAATTTGCTTCTACAAAAATACATGGATCGATATTTTACATGTAAAGGGCTCAACTACAATGGTATTCACTTCCGTCCTAATTGCATCATATCAATAAAAGATGAGTTCTCGGAATTCCCTACACACTTAATTCAGATCACCGAAGTCGGTAGGAATTTACCGGGTTTTTGAACAGCAGAACAACTCGGTAAAATTTTCAAATGACCGTTACACGTGAGAAATCAAGAAAAATTATAAATTTTATTTTTCATCAATAAATGGGGTAAACTGAATAACTTTTGTACAAGTTCGGGATAATTTTTTTAATAATTGGAATTTTCACTGATTTTTAAACTTTTACCGAACAGTTCTGTAGTTCAAAATTTACCGAACGACGGAGGCCTGGATTAGTGTGTACATTTGGGGTTATCCAGGAAATACTAGTAATCGACAATGCTCCCCAATTCTATATTCGAATCTGGGAAGTAGTTGGATTTGACAATATGCTGCAGGCATATGAAGTTCAACTTACAGAAGAATCTCTCTTGGCCGACCTGGAATCAGTGAATTGTTATACAACATTTTCATTTTGGAAGAAGTACAATCAAGAAACGCGATACATTTCCCGAAGGATATATAATAACGACTATTGAATAATAAGCCATGTATCCTTTAGCATGATACAAATACGTACCTACAAACAAACGGTCAATTGACATCAATTTTGTATATTTAGTTCATGAAGGAATCGTGGATATTGAAACTTTCATCGCGTTGGACAATGAAGATTTCTGTCGGCTGCAGCTCAACACCGGCCAACGAAAAAAAATTCAAAAATATCAACATCAATTGCTCGAGAAATACAATGCTGTTCCTGTGAAAGAAAACCCAGAAGAACAAGAAGAAGATGACTTAATTGAAGAGGATGATTCAACGGAGTATGAAGCTGGTCATTCTATTTCGCTGGAGAAGGTAACAACACATTATTCATACACTAAGCTTGTTTATGAATAAATATGCTTTTAAATATTTTTCTTAGGAGTTCGACATTGATTTGGTTTTCAGACAGTCTTCTGAGGGTTTACGTATAATGGAGTTGCTCAGACAAGAAAATTCAGTTAACAGCAAGCTTATCAAGTCCATCACAACCGTTCTAAGTGATTACTTAGTGAGGAGATTCGGATAGTAAGTAAAATGTTTGTATTCATCCTCTAATTATACTAAACATGCACTTATTCAATGATATGCAAGTATGCAAAATTTAAAGGAAATTTAATTTCTAAATTATACAGATGACATTCATCAAAATGATTTCTGTGTATTATGGATATTACAGTTGATCAGCAGTCAAAGTCGCAGTCAACTGCTGTTTTTATGGTCCAAAATTTAATATTTTTCTGAAATTTTGATTAATCATATGCTGCACTTTCTGTACAAGCTAAAACAGTGTGAACTATTTGTTTTTTTTTTCATCCACGCTTGTAACATGGCCTATTTTTATCCTGCATCAAAACAACTTATCCGCCATATTTTTTCAGAAACAAAGATTCTACATATTTAAAAACATATCGTTCAATTCCTTTTTTACTTTCAGTTCTCAATGTAACAAGCTAATTCATTTCGATACTTGCTGGTATCCACCAAATATTTAATCTTTGCTAACCAAATCATCATTTGTGGCTGTACTCTTCGGCCAGAAGAACTATGCTATTAGCGCGAAGTACAGTTAGACCACTGAGATTGGCGCTTGGTTGGTGTTAGCAAGCAAGTATATTGTTGATTAGTATTGTTGCATTCAGAACATGCTTATTGAAGTTTTCTAGTACAGTGTGGGTCCAACCAACTACACTTTAAAACGGAAAACCCTATTCAGTAAGTTTCATATGCATGCCGAATAGGCAAGTTTTGCACGTGATATAACCAGGTTAATTATCAAATTTGTGGAAAGTAAAAAAGTCCAAAATTATGTGATACGACAATAGGATCCTTACTGTTATTTGATTGGAGTTTATATCTTTTAAATTTGATTTGAAAAAACCACCTATGTTTTATTTTTTTAAACGTAGGATTTAGAAAAAAAAAAAAACTAAACAGTTATAATAAACCAAGGTTAAAGGTTGTTTGAATAAATATGCGAATAATTAATCGTTATGAATTAATAACACAAACCATGACTAAGAGGAAGTACTTCAGCATCATACCGAGCAACATTTTCGTCTTGGTAAAACCGGCTGATTTTGAGTATTTGTGCTAAATCGATTTGTAGTTCTTCTGCTTCCAAATGCATAAATATATTAGCCAATCTGCCATTATATACATAGGACAGCGGCTGGTCCAATTTCCACATAATCTTTACTGACGTTTAAAATTGTCTGCTTCCGTTACTTTTGCATGGGTCTTAAACTGTAAAAAAAAATCACTATTAAGCATTGATCTTCGGAGAATAATAAAATTAGATTGTTAGATTTTTTTTCTTCAGAGAATGGCTTCAGTTGAGAGTCCATTACTTCAAAACTAGAAACGCAATCTTCGCTGCTGCTTTGGAAGGCCTTTGAGAGGGTGAAATTTTGTTTGTTCTCAAACTGTCACTCTATCAATACCTCGACGTACATGGTTACTTTGATTAATTTATGTTCATTTTCAACCAAATGGAAAATGGCAATAATGGTTGCCTGTTTTCCAAGCATTTTCTTTTTACTGTCCATAACTTTTTTTTTAGTTTTAGTAGTCATTAGTACTAACTTTTATTATTTTTAGTCATCCTAACGCGTACAACGTGTTGAAGTCCAGCAGTACAGCAATCCCCCACGCCTTATGGTTTTATCCTCATGGAAGAGGGCAGGGAAAACACAGTGGAAAGATTCACTACCACATTGAGTACATGGTAAAAAAATACAAGCAACAAGTTCATCAACCAAGGCGTCTTGGCAACGTGGATACTATTGATGGTGATGATAACAACATGCTACAGGCTAGTGAAATCCAAAACGATTCTGCAATGGTAAATAATATAACACTATTAATTAAATTATTCAAAATAATAGGACTATTCATATTCCAGATTGAAAGGCTGAAGTACATTGTCCCAACTGACGCATCTCTGGAAGTAATTAAAAACGATTGGGGACAAACGTTTGGCGCCAGGAAGATCATCAGAGATAATGGTGATGATGCAAAACTGGTTGACGAACTGCTTGAAGCTTTCCCTCTAATGATTGAGTTCAGCGGATCTTTAGTATAATAGTTAAAACTAGCCGTTTCATTCTAATTACTTACAAATTTTTCGGTTATAGATCTCAGTGGATTTCGAAGTGATGTTTCCTAATGCTGGCGACTTCAATGAAACCTGGGAAATTTTGCAGCCAAAAATACTGGCAAAACACCACAGCTTACATTCATATATCAAATCCCGTGAGTAAATTTGCTGTGAAAATGGATACATTTTTGATTATGTATTTGTGAATTACAGAATTTATTCGAACACTTGTTATCGTAAAGGACAAAAATCCAACTCGTGGGGCTAAGCGCGCAATTCAAGGACCACAAAAGATCACAAATCACTTGGATCATATCATCGAATGGATCAATGTATGAGTAATCACTAATTTGAAAACTTATCCTAATTTGCAAATAATACTAATGACCTTTTTCAGCCCGAAGACGACGTCGAGCAATTCGCTTCTGGCTATACTAAGACCAAGCTACCGATATTAATCGTCAAGGCACCACAGTATGAGGAAGGAGCAACATACATTCGTTTGAACAAACGTGTGTTTTCGGCAGGTTGTGATATTCGCCGAGCATTTTTGCTTTTGGTTCAAGCATACTTCATTTTCAAATTCAAGTTTGAACCGTCTCTTGCAAATTTTTACAATTTTTTCGTTGGAGCCGTTTTGACCGTGGATAATATGACGACAACTGTTAACAACTTTATCTTTCAGCTCAACTAACAAAATGCTGAAATGATTATACGGTATGAAACTAAATTTAATTTGTTTAAATAAATGAAAATGATTCAAATAAACCGAAATTAATGTTGTTTTGAATGAACCAGTATGATTAAAACTAAAAAGCTGATTTTTCAGTACAATGATAAATATTGCTGAATTATTTCAGCAAAGTGCTGTCAAATTATGCGATTGCCGAATAACTGGATTTTCAGCAAATCTATTAAATATGCTGAAAATTCAGTAAACCTCTGTCAAGCAGAATGACATTTCACATTGCTGAACATTTCAGTAATTTTATATTGCTGAAATGATTACTGAAATTTCAGCTCGGCAAAATTCAGCAAAAAATTGCTGATTTCCAGCGATAAAAATTTGGTGTGTAGGTTAATTGACACTTTCTTAATCCTGATGGCCGCCATATTGGATTCCAACATAGCGTCGGATATCGATTTTTGCCATCTACGCGTTTTTCCTGTTCCTAAAATACTCATTCGACACTTCCGAAAACCAATTGTTACTATTTTGAATTCCAAAATGGCGTCGTGTATCATTTTTCAGCATCAAAATATCCTATTGTAGGATATTTGACACTTTTTCTGAAACCCTATTGCCACCATTTTGGATTCCAATGGCCTCGTTAATTTAATTTTTGTTTATTAAAAAATAAAACATTATTACTATACATAATCCGGATGCCATCCCTATCGGCAACCGATTTTGTGCGGATACTATATTTCGATGCTTGACGACGTGATGCGTGACACATCGAATGAACCAGAATTGAAGTGAAAGTGGAAAAAACGAAGTAAGCAATTTTTGAGTAATTCATTGCGTCAATTGAAACAAGCCTTTGCTTCAAATGAAATGAACTGAAGCACTTGACGAACGAAACAAGCGATAGTCATTTTTTTTTTTTCCTTTGGTTTGTTTTTTCCGTTGATCTTGTTTTCCGTGTGGAGCACCAATGCTACCGACGTGCCAGAAAGGCAGCTCCCACACCTGGAGCCTACCTATCCACCCATCAACTCATGAACCGGGGACCAACGGCTATACTTCCCCCATCCGAAGGAAGGCGTGATCAGAGATGTTATGCCTCAGAACATCCCGGCGGCGCCGACTGGGATTGAGCCCAGGCCTGCTGGGGTGAGAGGTAATCACGCTTACCATTACACCACCGGCGCCGTTAAGCGATAGTCATGTCATGTTTGAAAGGAGGAATGTTCATCGTGACTCGATAACAAGAAACACAATTACTTGCACGAAAATGATTTTGCTCGAAATGAAGCGATTCTGCGAAGAGTTCATTTTCATTTCTTTGTTTCTGAGGCATAACAGCTCTGAGCTGAAGGGAAGTAAAGCCGTTGGTCCCCGGTTCATGAGTTGATGGGTCGATAGGTAGGGTCCAGGTGTGGAAGCTGCCTCCCTGGCGTCGGTAACATTGGTCCTCAGCACGGAAAACAAGATCGACAGAAAATAAATCAAGGATAAAAAAAAGGGAATTCCTTTGAAAAATATGGGGCATATTTGAAAGGAATACACATGAGAATAAAAAAACAAATTTAAGGCAGTGGATTACAGAATAAGTGCTCCAACAAGCTTCAAATAGTTCTTCGTGATGGGGAGAACACCTGTTGAGATCTCTCAAAAAAATCATTTTTGACGTAGGACTACGTCTGTTATTTCTATATGGGAGTACACTTTGTGAAAACCAAAAATGGAACATGTAACAAAATAATGAAAGATTTTGAACATTAATAACTTAGCTGTCCCTGAACCAATTTCAATTATTTTATCAGCAGTCGATCAGAAATATTTCTACGCATCAATAGCAATGCGTCAGACTGTAACAAGAAACTTTTGAAAAATTGGTTATGTCAAGCATTGTCCAATGTACAAATAAAAAGAGATAATTTTATCACTGTTTTCATGAAATAAACGTTCTTCCCAAACCCAGTCGTCATAATCGAGTACCACTTGGTTGCACATCATTCTGCTGTCTAGCCTCAACTCATTTTCGCTTCGGACTTGGTATTGGTCGGTCTTGGTAAAGAAGGCGCCAAGCGTCATCGCAAGGTTCTTCGTGATAACCGCCATCCGTCGTCTGGTTCGCCGTGGCGGTGTCAAACGTATCTCCGGTCTAATCTACGAGGTGCGCTGAAGGTGTTCCTGGAAAACGAGATCCGTGCTACTGTCACCTACACTGAACATGCCAAGCGTAACCGGCCGTGGATGTCATCTCCGCTTTGAAGCGACAGAGACGCACTCTGTACGGTTTCGGAGGTTAAATCATCACCAACTTTGGCAACAAAACGGCCCTATTCAGGGTCAACAAGCTTATTACAGTAAAGAGTTGGACTAGAATTTATCTGTGCCTGTTTGTCTACATCCAGAACCACATGCCCCCAACGACCACACCATAGGCTCTCCAGAGTTGTAATCTTGTAACCAAACTTGGAAGCAGGGGTGCAAGTGATTTTGATAAATTCTCTTCATCAACTTTCTCTTTGTAAAAAATTACTACAAATTTGGTACGGCTACAATTCAAAAATGGAAAGAGTTAAGATAATAGATGATCGATCAATTAAAATAACTAAATGCTCTTCACATTTGTTCCGTCTACTAGCGGTCCTACGTCAAGCTTCCGTTCATGCCCCTAGGCACATACCCTTCTACTTTTGTTATTGTTGTTAGAACATTAGATTAAATGCAATTTGTTATTAAGTAACATTATAGCTTTATTTTCTAAAATTTCCAGCCCTTCCTTTTTTCCGCTATATTTTTGAAAGCTCATACTAGACGCATTCCCGTCACTCCGTTCCTAAAAAACACGGACAGGACAGTAAATCTGAGTAGCTATGAAGTAAAGGAAAAATTTACAATCTATGGAGCATTTCATCGTTTTAATATTGCGTTTCTATAACTGCCATTGAGAAATGAGGAAGTATTCGAATTTGATACAGTTGTCAGTCTTGTATTTATCGTGAGGAACCTATTCAAATTCCAACATCCCACTATTAATATTAATCGAAAACTTAAAGCTCAAGCTGTCGATCTGCCAATGGTTGCCTAATGCCTAATCACTTTGGATATTACATCTTGTTTCAAGCTACACCGTTTTACTGAACATGAGCTGGATTTCCACCGATCATCCAGGAATGAGTTTTCAATCGTTTGATCCTTAACTAGCAAAGCACAAGTGCAGCAATCGACAAAGTGGTCACCCTCAAACATCACCAGCATCCGGTATGAATGCGGAGAAGTGAACTGACGAAGGGTGAAGTGAGCACTATTTAAACTGCGGATTTGCGATTAAACGGTCCAACCTCACACTCTTCCATTGTTGGGGAATTAGCGCTGCAGCGAGTTATTTTCGAGTTCATGTAAAAGTTTCACAATCCACATCTCCCGCAGTCTCCGACGGAATGTGGGCAGAAAGTGGAAAGTCTCTCTCATCTCCCTTCTATGACTGATGCGGTCGGTGGAAGCTGAGAACGAGTAACGAGCGGTTTGATTCAGTGAGCTGTGTGGTGCATTAGGATAATTTGACCCGAAAAACCCCCATCTACAGTCCACTGGAGTGAGGAATTACGTCGCCTCCGCAGACAATACCACATTCGAGGAAACTTTTGCTCGATTTGTGTCGAACTTTGAGTTTAATCAGCTTTGTAAATTTGAGGTGGGTCCCAGGAGGTAATTCAGTGCCTAGCGAAGATTGATTTGGGAGTTCCAATTCATCGAAATTCAATAACGCGCACAAATCTTATTTGAATGAATTGATTTCGTTTCACTGGGATTGAATACGCTCTTTCATCATTGGGTCCGATTGAGCCACAATCTGCGTCAAGTATCTTAAAATAAACCACCCGATAAGGCAGGCAGAAGTAGAAACAGAATTTTTAATTAAACCGTTCACGTCATCATCACGGGCGCTGTGTCCTTTACCTACTCAAGTGCAGATTTTGTTCACCCGCTGAAGAAGAAGCGAAGGCGATGCCTAGCAGCCTCATTTGTAATCCAATCTTGTACTTCTCCTGAGAGGCTTTGAAAGCATTCGACGTTGGCAACTGAATACAAAGTGATAAACGTGCTGCATTTGAGAGGTGGGTGGAAAATGCTGTTTCTTAAGATAAATCCCACGTCTGACTCAATGAGCACTCAGTATTTTTAACTAAAGCTATTGTTCAGTGACGATTTCATTGAATTATTTCAAATACTATACACACTTAGAAATACCTAATTTTACACGTGTCGGAATCCATCTTTGACATAATGGATGAGACGTAAACAAACATGTTATGTAAAATTGAGTGCTCCGAGACTGAAAGACTGTTACTTGACGAAAGTACATTTGATTGAGCTGAATTTCGTGTCTATTATGACTCAATTTTAT